CACGCCTACGTCGTCTCTCACCTGGACCAGTGCAGGAGCCTCCGGGCTCACAGAGCTCCCCCCACCGGCACCCACTTTGCTCTTCCCCAGCCAGTCCATTCTATCCTAAACTCAAGATATACCCAATCTCCGTCCCCAGGCTCAAAATTCTTGATGCAATGTTGGGGACATACTAATACTAGAAAAATTACTCCTTGCTTATCTGAAATTCAAAGAGAACTGGCCGTCCTTTATTTTATCAGCAGCCTTAGGTACTAAGTCTAGACTCTCTACACGGCCTCTGTGGCTCCTACCATCATGCGCCGTAGAGCGGCTGGGCCTGGCCATGCCCAGGTCAGCTTACCGAGAAATCCCTGAAATTGGCTGGGCTTCCAGTAACCGACCACCCAACCCTTCCCATGACCTTCCTAAGTCGGAATTCCCCCAGAGACATACTTGCTTACATAAAGGAAAGGATCCCATTTCAGGAGTAAGTTTTTTTTGTTTGTCTGTCTGAAACAATGGATGCTTAGTCTTGAATTTTTGTATTTAACTCGACTGCCCTCTTGTGGAAGGAGCTATGAACCGTGCCTCAAGCTGGCACACAGGCTGATTATAAGCACAGACTGCGGGCCTACTGTGCAGGGAAAGAGAGTTGAATCAAGGTTGTGTGGGAGAGTGAACAGAGCCAAACAGCTCTAGAACCCACTAATTATGCTTCCCAGGGGGAGCTCCTTAGCCTCTGTGTTTCAGATTCCTCATCCGTATGCTAGAGAATGTAACTGTCCAATTATTTTTTGTAAATATTAAAGTAGGCAAAAGATTGTCCAATTGCCTGTATACAGTAAGCACTCAGTTGAACTTGAACTGAGCACACACTGGTTTGCATCCATGAGTATCAGTAAATCAGGCTGTTTGGAAATTCTTATGTGCACACGGGAAGACCATTCTCTAAGCCTGGGAGGAAACGCACCCTAACCCACGTTTGCTAAAGCTGGGTGCTACATGAGTAATCATGATCATTGCATTATAATTCACAATTGTCTCAGTGGTTTCAAAGACGAGGCCCCATCAGATCCTCACCACGACCTAGGGAGCAGGTGCTGTCTCCTTATTTCAGGTGGGGACACTGAGGCACAGAGATGCAGAGAGGGTAAATGATCAGGTCACTTTGCCAAGCAGTGGCAGAGTTAGAATGGGGGTCACAAAGGCAAATGCTATGGGCCCAGGCAGGTGATGCAGACGAAAGCAGGGAACAGGACACCTGGAGGGACCCAGAGCATTGGACCGTGTGTAATCAGTCCAAAAAGAACAGTTCAAGGCCAGCTTCTTGGTGCCATGGGAGGATTCAGGAATTCAGATTTTACGTATTAGGTGAAACATACAAAATTGCTGACGTTCAACTATTTTTACCTCCACAAGCAGAAATTTCATAGAGTTAACTTGAAATTTTCCAGTTTTTAAAATAACATGCAGTTCAAATAAGACTTCTCTATGGACAGTCCCTGTGCACAGGCCCCTAGCCTGTGACCCCTCCCAGCACAGCCCCTGGGGATCCTCTCTCTTGCAGAAGGAAAGAAACAGGCTGTTTTGGAAGCCAGCCACATCGCGGCTCAGGTTCTCTCGGAGAATTCCCATCCGTTTTCACAGCCTAATATGCTTACTGCTTTTATTTAGGATGTTTCAATCATGTGTGCAGGTCTGTGCCGTCCTCGCACAGTGATAAAGCAGCCATCTTGAACACCGAGAAACTATCCGATTATTTGGGCCAAGATCTATCCTGTATCTCCCTTTTTACGTTTGTTATTTAAATCCTTAAACTTATCTATAGGTCAGGGCGCCTGGGTGGCTCCCTCGGTTGAGCGTCCGACTTCGGCTCAGGTCACGATCTCGCGGTTCGAGCCCCGTAGCCGGCTCGGTGCTGACAACTCGGAGCCTGGATCCTGCTTCAGATTCTGTGTCTCCCTCTCTCTCTGCCCCTCCCCCACTCATACTCGGTCTCTTTTTCTCTCTCTCTCTCTCAAAAATAAACGTGAAAAAAATTTAAACTTATTTAACAGGTGCCTATATGCACACCATTTACAAAACTGTATAAATACGGTCACACCCATGCTTGCCATGGTGATATCTTTTTTTTTTCCTTTTCTGCCAATTCCCTTCTCCCTCCTCCTGCTTCTCCGCAGCAACCTGACCCAGCCGATGGCCGTGGTAACCACCCAGCGAGTGTGGATTCATACTGCCCTCTGTGCTCAGCCAGTCCTGGACAGACACTAGGGCCGTTGGGTCATCATAAAGGCACATAAAAGGATGTTTGCTTACTTGTTTTCTAAAAGAAAAATCACACAAGCGCCTAGTACCTTTTACCATATTATCATAATACGTGCGGCAGCATCCCGTCCAAGTCAACTGGTATAGTTCCAGTGCGTTCTGTGTAATGGCTGCGCACATGTTTCTGGGGGGTGCACATCTATGCAGCCCTCCACCCTGGGTTTCTCGGTCACTTTGTCCCCAGTTTTCCGCTACAGTGAAAAACAAGACAGAAGACATCCCGGTACATATGTCTTCACCCTGGGGTCTTTTTATTTCCCTGGGCTGCCTGGGCGGGAGCATCCACGTGTTTTTAATCTGAACGGCTGTTGCCCACTTGCCTCCTTAAAAATACTGTCGTCTTTCAGAGGTCCCCAGCAGCCTGTGCATGTGACAGCCCGCACGCACATGAGCTTTGGCAGGGACAGGAAGAGATGGCCCGGGGGTGGGCCTCCCCGCCAGAGGCCGGCTCCCCTTACCTGTTGTAGCTATGAACCAGGTCGAAAATCATCATGTCTGTGGTGTTGACAAACTTGCATTGGACCGGCAGGAAGTGCCCATCCGGAGAGCACTGAGGGGGTGACCTGTCTCCCACCCCGTGGAGGAGACGGCGGTTTCTTATCTCGCAGCTCCTGGGACCTACACATTTCAGAGGAAAAATTTTAAATTCTTAGGTATGAGGGGCGCCTGGGTGGCTCAGTCGGTTAAGCGTCCGATTTCGACTCAGGTCATGGTTCGAGCCCTACATTGGGCTCTGTGCTGACGGCTCGGAGCCCGGAGCCTGCTTCGGATTCGGTGTCTCCCGCTCTCTCTGCCCCTCCCCCTCTCGTGCTACCCTGTCCCTGTCTTTCCCA